AACAATTTTGATTTTCTAAAACAGAAAAAAATTATTAAAAAGATTTATTTTCCACATACAAATAGTTAAAATTGCTGGATTCGATTTTTTTTTTTATATTTTTTGAAAGTTAGATAATTAATCTACAGAAATCAATAAACAAAATAATGAATATATGAAAAAGGTATTTAATTACCAACGTAAATTATATTCTGAAAAGGAAAAATAATATCTCAAAATGTTCAGCTCTGAAGGATAAATTACTATGTAGTTCAAAATTCATTTATTACCCACTAAAACAAAAATAAAGACAAAATAGCTGGATCTCTTTGAGTCCAAAATTAAATGAAATATCCAATTTCCTCGCAATAAAAGAAAAAAATAATAAACATTGCTCAATTTAAAATTTTAATTCTCAGAAACTGAATTAAAAATGTATTTTTTTCTCCATATTATGAATGTTTAAATTTAAAATGAGATCCAAAATATAAAAATCGTAAAAGCAGCTTTTCAGAAGAGTTTTTTAAAATTAATGCGGAAATATGTCTGAAAAGAAGTCAGAATTGTAATATCCTGGCAAACACATTCATCATATTCATGCATATGAAACGGGAAGTTTGTGAAGAAAATAAATTGATTTTTACTTAATTCAAACTTCTTGAAATTGAATCAAAATCTTAGTTATTAAAGTCCTTGTGAAATAAAATGAGTTTAAAATGCAAATGGGATGAGAAATTGAGATGAAAAAGAATGAAATCCTTGGAAGTATTTTTTTATTATTATTATTATATGCATTCTTAGTAATCTTCTTTATAATTTAAAAGAAATTCAAATCCTCATTGCTGGAAACACGTCGTATTAAGTTTTGAGATTTTTACGAAAATATAACTCTGCATTTATTCTTTAATAACATTTCATTTTATAGATGACTAAAACATTATTTAAACATTAAACACAAATGCTGTTGAAAACTTTGAAAGTATATAAAGTTACTTTTTTCCAAATAAGTAATTGCAACTGTATAAATGTCGTTATAATCAAGAAATTTATTAATTTCAATAAATAAATAAAAAATTTCTATGATAATAACATAAAGAACATAGAATCTAATAAAATAATATAAATGTCCTGAAATATAACTAAATATATTGAACCCTAATAACAATAACCTGAAATATAACAGAACAATCTTGAAACATAACAGAAATATTCCGAAGTATATAAGAAATATCTTGAAAGATAATAAAAATATCTTGAAATATAACAGAAATATCTTGAAACATAACAGAAATATCTTGGAACACAACAATATCCTGAAACACTATAAAAATAACGGAAAGAACTTATGCATACAATCATTTTGTAACAGTGCCCGAAATAGAAACTTGTTTTAAAATCCAATGTTATGCCGAAAATTAATGTACAATATTAATGGTGTTTAAGTTAAATCCATAGGTAAGTATTGCTTATCAAAGGAGTAGATAAAAGATTGCTATCGTTCTAATTGAAGTTTCTTGTATGCTCGACCGAATTGCAATGATTCCGATAAATCAAATGTCGGTTGTTTTAATTTCATCCCTTCTTCCACGATATATCTGAAAGTGACAACTGGACTCGGTATCACAAATATAAGAGGAATTAAAAAAGAGAATTAAAGAATTAAAAAAGAAGTCTATATAATGTGTACGTGGTTTTAATTTAGCATATAGACTTATTTACAACAACTTATTGACCAAGACATACCAAATTTAAAAAAAATACGGTATTTCTACTGAGCGTTTGAATACATCGTAAAATAAAACATTTTTTGGCATCTGATGAAAAATTTTTATATCAAGTATGCGTCTTGAATATTTTTTGGTATAACTTAACATATGCTCGAAAATTCTTTGTAAATTCTGTAAAAAAGTTATAGTATTCTAATTCTATAAAAAAAAGTAAAATATAGAATTTAAAAAATGGAAAAATTATGTGCATTAATTTCTTTGCCTTTTAAAAAAATATTTTTAAATAAATGCAAGTGTTATTTTTCAAAAACATTTTAGAAGTATATATTAAAATCAATGTACCAGTGATATAATCCCTAAAAATTGCAATTAGCTTTCTTCCATAATGCAAAATAAATAACACTTTTTATGACATTGTTTTCTGACTCTCTCTTTTATTATTGATCAAGTTGTATATTAATGGAGTCTGTATGATAGACAAACATTGGACATCTGATAAGCTTTATAGGAATTTTTTGAAAAGTCGTTTACTTTTAAAGTAAAAAATTTCAAACATCAAAAATATATTCATTAAGTATAAACACACTTAATTTAATTGAAACAGTATATTTTTGAGGCATGTTACAAAATAAATGTCTTTGGCATGTAGAAGCAGATATCTTTTACACGTTCACTTGTGAGCCAACTAAATTATTAAGCACATTTTTTTCATTTATTCATTACAGATAATTGTGTAAATTCATTACAGATAATTTGATGAATACGTTTGAATTAATTTGCAGTTAATTTAATAAAATAATAATTGGCCTTATATTCATCATTAATGTAATTTGCACTTTTCTGATTAACGAGTTTTAAAAAATATTTAATTTCAGGATAAAAAATATGTTAAAAACTATGAAATTTCAATCTATGATTTTCCAAGAAGTCACCTTAAAAAGTCATATGATGATCAAAATACAAGATTACGTTGCATCATAAATCAGTTATTATTTTAACACATATTTAATTTTCCTACCAAAGTAATATTTGTGTTCCATATTTCAACTTCTTAAGAAATGATATGCTTCAAATAAATAATTGTGCGAAGTTTTACATTCTCCTTTACATGAAGAATGGATCATTATTTTCCTTAAATTATTCTTTGAAGAATCCACAATCAACATTCTAAACTGCATCAAATGCGACTTCAGTAAAGAGTCCTAGTCAAATACTTGTCTGGAGAAGTTGGGAGTATGAATTTTATGGTAAGCTGCACTATTTACATTGCAGCAGACATCACTGTTTAGCCTGGTGTAATCATGGAAGTATGCTCACCATTCGCAACTCTTCAACGACATACTTTCTCGTCGGAATGCAAATATTTTAACCTTCCGACTTCCGTTACACTCCATAGAATATAATCCTCTGCTTTAAGATAGAAAGCGCTTCTGGATCTGGTTCCTAATATTACTTGCAACAAGATAGATATATACAGATATTTGAAAGCATTTAATCCGTGTCCACAGGAAATAGATTCATTCTATCAAAATATGGATGGATATCGTAGGTTTCATCAAGACATGTACTTTAAAGCATTATCATTTTGCTGAAAGATGGTTGGTAAGATTTGCTTAGAAATAAGTTTTGAAAGTATTACCTAATCATAATCGAATTTGTTACAAAACGTTCTTGAGAAAAATTTATTTTTTTTACATTATGTAATTACAGATAAATATAAACAGTATGGAGAAATTTTATTTTATTTAAGTTATTAATGTTTTTATTCTGGTTATTAATCTATAATTAGTTAACAAAAAATAATATTTTATTGAAATATTTCTAGCAAAAAAATAATTAAAACAGGATAAGTAAAAATTTAAATAATAAAAGTATTTTTTTTTAGTCGCTCAGAAAAATATATTTATTTTCTTCGAAATTAATTTCAGGATCATCATAATTCAAATTTTTTTATTTGAAAACAATTTCATTACCAAAATATTTTATATTTTCTTATGAATTTTTTATTACAATATAAAAACTATATTCAAATAAGAAAAGGGCATGACCATTTTGCACAGCTCTTATTTTGCTAATAAATATTTGCATTTGATTTTGGCTTCAAAATAGAATAATTATCACCGACTAAAAGCTATTAAAACATTCGTAATCAAAGCATTATAAAATAAATTGACATAAATTACAAATATAAAAATAATTTTGATTTAATTAAATAATAATTAATTAAATAATTTTAATTTTAATTTTATTTAAAGAATATTTTATTACATGTCTTAAACTTATTGCACGTTTTATATTCTAATAATGCCCGACTTGTTGTTAAATGTTAATGTGCACCGGTGGTAAGCATTAGGGCTGAGATTCAGTCCGTTACAGGTTTTGTTGTAGATACTGTTTTATAAAACGTGGAGTCCCGATGGCGTTTGTGATCATACGATTATGATTATGCGTATCTTAGATGTATTATTATACTTATTATGATTACTTATTTTAATTGAAACAAAAATGTTCTCTTGTGTGCCATTTTATACAAATAAATTTTGAAACAGAATTTTTTTTTATATATTCCATGTAAAAAAAAAATATTCCATGAATTATATACAATATTTAATGTATTACAGATTATTTGATGAATACCTTTATGTTCTTTTTTCAGTTAATTCCGTAAATTAATAATTGCCTTAAATTTAGAATTAATACAATTTTCACTTTAATGATTAACGAGTTTTGAAAAATATTTAGTTTCAGTTAAAAGAATAAATTAAAAAGCTATGAAGCGTAAAACTAATGTTTTCCAAGAAGTAACCTCAAATAACCTTCAATAAACATATGATGAACAAATTACAAAATTACGTTTCACCTTCAATCGATTGTTATTATTTAGATACATATTTAAAGTTTCTACCAAACCTATACGTATGTTTCATTTTTCAACTTCTTAGGAAACGATATCCTCCAAATAATAATTGTGTAAAGTTTGATGTTCTGCTTTACATAAAGTATGGATCATTATTTTCCTTAAAATATTCTTTGAAGAATACACAGTCAACATTCTAAACAGTATCAAATGCGACTTCAGTAAAGTGACGTCAAATACTTCTCTGGAGAAGTTGGGAGTATGAATTTTATGGTAAGCTGCACTATTAACATTGCAGCAGACATCACTGTTCAGCCTGGTGTAATCTCGGAAGTATGCCTACCATTTGCAACTCTTCAACGACCTACTTTCTCGTCGGAATGCAAATATTTTAACCTTCCCACTTCCATTACACTCCATAGAATATAATCCGGCCAATGGCCGTACCATGCTGAATATACCGGTTCTCGTTAGATCACCGAAGTTAAGCATCATTGGGCTGTCTCACGTCAGTACTTGGGTGGGTGACCACCTGGGATGGGACTGCGTGCCGTTGGCAAATTTGGGACATGAATGGCCGAGTGTCTAGCGCTCTGGCGCTCGGTGCCACAGGTTTCGGGTTCGAATCCCGGCGGTGCCATGGATGTTTGTAGTGGTTCGGAATCCACTTTAAGCCGTAGGTCCCGGTCTTCTATGACTGTAAGAGCGTCACGGAGCAAAAGTCAGGCTTCTACCTACGGGGTGCTCCATCACAACAGAAGCTGCTTCCTTCCCCTTCAATCATGAGTCCATATGGGCTCGTGGGCTTGGCCAGCCAAGTGGGATAAGAAACAACAACAACAGAATATAATCCTCTGCTCTAAGATAGAAAGCGCTTTTGGATCTTGCTCCTAATATTACATGCAACAAGGCAACATGTTTGAAAGCATTTAATCCATGTCCACAGGAAATAGGTTCATTCTATCAAAATATGGATGGATATCTTAGGATTCATCAAGACATATACTTTAAAATATAAGACATGTACTTTTATCATTTTACTGAAAGATGGTTGGTATGTCTTGCTTTGAAATAAATTTTAAAAGTATTGCCTAATCATAGTCGTATCTGTTACAAAACTTTATTGGATAAAAATAAACTTGTTTACATTCCATAATTACAATAAATATAAGCGTTATGGAAGTAAGTTATGTAATTTAATTTATTTATGGTATAGTTCTGGTTAATAATGATTAATTAGTTAACAAAAAATAGTAATTTATTCAAAAATTTCAAGTCAAAAAATCTAAAACATGTAAAAATTTAAATAATAATAAAACTTTTTTTTTCAATTATTATGTATTTATTTATTTTATTTAGTTGTACAAAATAACATGTTTTCTTTGAAAACATTTTTAGAATCATCAGTTGATTTTTAGTATCAACCTTAAATTTGTTTATTTAGAAACAATTCCATTTCTAAAATATTTTATATTTTCGTATAAATTTGTTATTAGAATATAAAAATTATGTTCAAATAAAAAAATAGCATAACTATTTCGCACAGCTCTTAATTTGCTCTTAAATATTTGTATGTAATTTTGATTTCGAAATATGATAATTATCACCGACTAAAAGTTGTTAACAAATTGTTATTATTATAAACATACACAATCATAAATTACATATCAAAAGATACAACTAGAATTGTAAGTTGTAGTGTGCAAATGGATTGTAATTGGGTGTGGTTGGGTTGAGATATTTGAGGTACAGGTTGGAGAACTCACAGATATTTTGACTCACACATACAATTATACACACACGATATGTAGTCATATAATTATAGATTCATGGAAGGATTCCATTTCTAAGCCGAAAACTCGATACTCAGGTACGGACAGGGTGCGAGAAATGTACTTCGTCTCCGGGTGTGAGTTTGTAGGCCAATTAATAAGCATAGTTGAGTTAAAAATATTTTCTCTGAGAATTTGGTGAGAGATTGTAAACTAAACGTTTCTCATTTGGAGCGCGTGGATGGGTTGTATTTCAAAAGTCATCTGGCCTAAAAAAATGAATAACTAAAAAAAACTTTGAAAAGTCATCATCAGGTCATCAGTATGAGTCTCGAGGCCTGCTCATCATTTCTCCTGAACCACGCAGGGGGCGCAATGGCAGTGCATAGAGGGAAGCGCGATTACATATTGTCCTTAAACTTATTGCATTTTTTATATTTTAATAATTTTATCATATTGAACCAACTATGCTTTGTTGAGCAATATTCACATTTATTCAGTTATAATTAATGCATATATGTATTTTGATAATTATGTATGATTTGATATGCTAGAAAAATTATGTGCCATTCACCCACACCAAGAAAATAATTGTACTTCACATGCTAACGTTTATTAAAAATCTGTCTAAGATTTGAATAGAAAATTTTATATTTAGTTTAAGATTAAAGTGGATCAAACAATAAAACTTATATTTTGGCCGTACGACAAAAGATTTTTTTAACTTACTCCAATAAAACGTTTAAATTAATTTAACTTATCAAATTATCAATACATTTCCGTCTGAACATTACAGAGCAAACCAAAAAAGTTTCTATATTTTTTTCTACATTGGTGATAGGAGAAATAACTTTATTTTACGCAATCTTAATTAAAGTCTCAATCGGTTTATTATCAGTAAATGCTTTCTATAAGTTCCTGAATATGGAAATAAATATTTTAATAATAATAAATATAATAATAAATAATAATAATAAATATAATAATAAATAATAATAATAAATATAATAATAAATAATAATAATAAATATAATAATAAATATTTTAATATTGCTAACCTTTATTTTCTTCTGGATGTAATTAAATACATTTTTATTTACATTAAATATGAAATAAATTAGGTATAAATAAAATCTACCGTTGCTTCATTAAAAAATATTTTTTATAATCCTTTCCCCAAATATTTACTCATTTTTTCCAGGAACTTCCATCTCGCCACTTTTAAAATATTTGATCTAAAACTGTAAATTAACTCAAAAATATAAGCAAATTTAACCTTTTTTCTCAGTTTTAAACTGAAAAAAAATAAACCTTTTACAATTCTTAATAAAAATATTTTAAGTGAGCTTAATAGCCTCTGGCATTTTAAGCTGCATTCTAACAGAGAATATTCTTTCAGAGAAATAAAATTCTTGCAGATCTGGAAAAGGAAACTCCACCTTTTATTGCCTTTTCTTGAAGGAAGGAAGATTCACTCTGCAGTTTTTCAGGCAGAAACGCCGTTGCGCTAACAAAGCGAAAAGAAAATACCATCTTACAGAAATATAAATATCTCGCTACCTTGGCCGTTAAATTCGGATTTTCTGCTCCGTAGTGTTCCATGGTATGAAAATGTTTGAAATCTGTAAATACTGCTCCATGCATTTAGCTGCTTATTTTTCAGCTTGAAAAAAGTGATCATTTGAATTCCAAGTACTTTTAAAAATAATTTTTTCTAAAAATGCTACCATATTTTTAAAAAGTCAATATGTTTTTATACATTGTAAATGTCTTTTGAACAAGTTTTGGAATTTGAAGTCATAAAATTTTCAATAAATAATGCTCTTATAATGTTTGTTACAGCATATTATTAAAGGTTTAGTGTTTTTTATTTACCATAATAACGATATAATTTTGATCATATGCTTTATTGTGATATTTAATTTGCGTATTATTAGGAATTTCAAATTTCTTCAGATATTATAATAAAATGTATTATCTTAAGAACGTAATTTAAATTAAATGTACACAAATGTTAAATTAAATGTACAAACTATCTAATGTAGACAATACTGGAATTGTAGAAAAAAAAATTTTGAGTGAATTTCTTATTTAAAAATATTAATGGGAACAAATAAATTTTTTTAATAATAAATTAACATTTCAATTGAATCTCAGTTTTAAGTTATTTTTTTTCTATGAAATCCTTAACTAAATTAGAATTTTATATAGAAATCAATTGGGCATGCCATATAAAACTATCAAAAAAAATTAAACCTTCACTTTCATAAAGCCACTTTTGAATAATCATTAAAATCATTAATTTTTACAAAAAAAAAATTCAAATTTTAAAAATGCTTAAAAAAATTCTACTTTACATAATATTTCAATAAGTTTATTCAAATATTCTTTAAAATTCAGGAATGACAACATATTTTATAAATGTTAATTTTATTTAAATATTGTTTTTAATTTATGAACCTTTTTAATAATCCAAAATAACCCTAGGCTGCATTATTTGAATACTTTTTGATTATGTAGAATTAAAAATAAAACATATTAATTTTTAATAAAAATATTAAATTTATTTTTCAGGTACTTAAATTATATTTATTCATGGAATTGCAAGGGACACAATGAATTAATGCTTTTCTAATAAGAAATATTATTTAAGTATAACAACTATAACTATTTAATTAACAAATACAATTATAACTATAACTATTTAGAATATAAAAATTATTTTATTAATTTTGCTTTTAAAAACTGTATTTAAGAATATCTACAATTCATTTTAAAATGATGTTTTGATGAATTTTAAAAATAATTTATTTAATTAATTAAAATTAACTAATTCATTAACAGGAATAAAAAATTTTAATTTTAAAAAGATTGTAAATTTTTATGTTAGAAAGATTGCACATATTTATTTATTATTAAAATATAATTCTACTTATAAATACATTGAATAGATTCTGCTAATAATGAAATAAGAAACTAAACTAGAAGAAACACAGATAAGATCAAAGAAACCATAGTTTTAACTCTCAAAACGTATTTGTAGAAATGTTTATCAGCTTTGCGTTTTATAAAAATTATGTTTTTATAAATTATTAAAGAATGCATGTGCATTTAATAAAAAAATATGCTATTCAATATAGTTGAGTCATTATAGTGTCAACTATATTTACCTTCCCCAAAAAAAATATACGTATCACTATAATCGCAAAACAAATTATCTTTCAGCAACCCAATGGTGCATATCAGCCTAATATTCCATTTATTGTTATAGATGTTTAAAAAGGACCTTTTATCTACCACAACAACGCAAAAGTAACGATTTCACATTAGAGAGGTAGCAGCTCGATAGATAAGAGGTCTGTAATGCAGAAGTTATTTTTGTTAGATGTTTTCCAGAAGACATTGGTAAGATAAAGACAGACAAATATGTTCAAAGACAATGCTTTCAAAGATCACAAGGTTATTTATATTAAATGAATGCACCGTGCCACAAATATTGATTGGTGGTACAAAGACATGTTGAAAGCTTTCATTTAATAAAACAATGTTTCTGGACGAACTATTTTAGCAAGACAAGAAAAAAGAAAATTCGCTACTAGCTTGTGTTTAGCGAAGGGTGTAAAAACAGTTTCGAAATTGAAAGAGTACATCAGGAAATTGACAGATGTTGAAAATTGTATCTTGTCTTTTCTAAAGAACATGTTTTTTTTTGATTTTCAGAAAAAAAAGAAGAAAAACAAAACAAAGCATTTGTTTTCTGCTGATTGTTTCGGGTTTCGTT